TTGTTTGTTAGTTTGGATTTTTTTTTTAATTTTTTACAAAATATTTCATTTGTTGATTGATAATTTGAGGTTGAATTTGTTTGATGTTCATTTTTTAGATTTGGACATATGTTACTAATTTATGAATATAGTGATAAATTTTAATGTGCACTTATCATCTGAAAATTAAAGTAATAAAACCAGAATTAAATCAAATCAAATCATAATCGAATGGTTCGGTTTTGGTTTGGTTTTATGACTTAAAAAATAAAAAAAGCATTGGTTCATTATCAAAAAATTATTGGATTATGGTTTGATTCGATTCGCTTGAAACCAGAATTAAATGAAATCCTGTCAATCCTTAATAACAAAACTAAAACATAAAATTCACAAAAAAATTAAGTATGCATTCCATTTGATCAAACTTTAAAATTAAGTGTGCATTTTATATCCAGTTACAATTTATGAATATAACTTATTTTATACTTAAAATTGATATTCTCAAAAATATTAAAGCGCTGCAAGATAATGAGATAAAGTTCAAGTTGATGCAAGTGAAATTTATGTATTAAAAAAAAATATAAAGCATGATAGGACAACAATATCAAACTTAATTGATATTTTAGGTGAGTTTTTCAGAATAATGATTCATATAATAATAAAAATTTGCATTCGCGCCATTTTTATATATTTTCAAAGAAAATCCCTTTTCTACCAAAATTTATTTATTAAGTTAATAAATCAAAATTAACCTAAAACAAGGGCCAAATTAGTTTAGCTAAAAATTAAATTTTTAGTAGATTTTGACAAAAATAGATAAAATGTGTGCTTAAAAATTGATAAATTTAAAAAAAAAAAAAAAAAGTAAGGTCAAATATATATTTTATGAGGTTAAATTCATTAATGTTCACTTAATTTTATATTAAGTGTTACTATGATCACTCTATTTGATTTTATTTCACCATGATCATTGAAATCCATATAATGTTTCGTCATAACCATCCAACTTCTTTTCATCTTTTTTACTAATTTTAAAAATAGTAAAATGGTAATTTTTGGATTATATATATATGTAACGTTTTTGTTAAAATAAATTTTTATTTTATTTTGAAAACCCTTTTCTCTAAAATAACTTTTTATTTTATTTTTCTAAGTAAAGTTTTTATTTTAAATAAGTTTTTATTTTATTTTTAAAAAAAAATTTAAATAAGATTTTATTTTGTTTTTAAAATGTTGTTTTTGAAAATAAGTTTTTATTTTATTTTTTAAGTAACTATTTAAAATAAGTTTTTATTTTAATTTATTTTATATATAATGTGAAGTTACTGTTTTTTACCCATTTTAAAATTAGTAAAAATAATGAAAAGAAGTTGGGTGATCATGATAAAACGTAATATGAATTTGGACAATCAGATTGACATTAAGCATAAAGTTGGATAGTCATAATGAAACAAAATCAAATTAAAAAAATACATAAATATAAAATTGGGTGGTTGTTGGTGAATTTAACCCTATATTTATACTTAAACCCAATCCTACCTCACTCTACCCACTCTAACTCCACTTTCATTTCTTAGCATCATCCCCCTCCATTAAGCACATGCACAGATGCACCCTGTCATTTTCATTTTTTTTTCTAACTTTCTTCTTTTCTCTCTATATGTACGTTGACATGAACATGAGGTTAGAGAAAATCCATCAATATTTCTAATATATATTTTTTTAACTACAATTCCCAATCTAAAGATCTTGATTCATTCCACCAACGACAAAGCACGTTAATCATGTTCTACACTTTTGTTTTATTCTTTCTAAGTCGAGAAAAATATACTAAAATAGGTTGATTCATACTCAAAGCAAATATAAACAGAAATCAAAATAAACATGTTATCCTGAAACTAGATAATTACTCAAGAAAGATATATATTTTTAGCACTAAAATATGCGAAATATAAATAATACATAAAACGCTAAATGGGAAAAATTCTAGCGATTTATTCACATTAAAAAAGTCCAATTCTCGACTTCTCGTAAGTAAAATTCCATTTAAACAAAATAAAAAAAAATCGAAAATGAAGTACCTACAAAAAGATTTGATTCCATCCAGCAATTACATATATAAGTACAGGTATAAAGAGAGAATAAGCAAGCGAGAGATAAATGAGGTCACAAGCAAGATAACAACTCTATGGACGAAAAATTGAATTTTGTCCTAAATGATTTAAATTTTATCAATCTGATCTCTGAACCAAATTTGATTTAAATGGATACTATCTATTTAAAAAAAAATGACCAAACAAAAGCCACTACTAAAAAATAATAAATCCCCTCACACGAAGCTTAGTGTGTTCAGTTGATGCTCCGTCTGGCACGAAGCAGCAGCCATGGTGACCCAAAAATGGTTTTTTATCATTTTCACTAAATTTTTTCCTTCCGTAACCGTGTAAATACTTTTTTGGCTCAACAACACACTATATATATATATATATATATATATATATACCTTCTTCTTCTTTATCACCCATTAATTCAAAAAAATCTCCATCATCCTCACATCATCTCTATGTCCTGTCATTCCCTCTCTGCTTTTTTTTTTTTTTTTCCTAACCTCTAATTGACTAATTTCTGATTCCAATATTCAAGATTCACAAATTCAAACTCAAAACAAATATTCTTTTTTAAAAAAATATATATATATCAAAAAAATTATGATTTCTACCTTCAATTGGCTGCAGTGGAGGCAATACCAGGGAACCTCTCACACAAGAGCACCAAAACTTTAAAATTTTTGACCGATTGGAGATCATTCAGCCGGAATTGGAGATATGGGTGTGTGTTGATGAGCTACATAAGATAAAATGCCGAGATTCAGAAATAACCCAAAAAATTTAAAATTTTATACCCTACCTTTAAATCATGGAAAGTTGGAAAAATTAGGATTTCTACCTGCAATTGGCTGCAATGGAGGCAAGACCAGTGAACCCCTCACATGAGAGCACCAAAACTGTAAAAGTTTTGAACAACTTGGAGATCATTCGGTCGAAATTGGAGGTATAGGTGTGTGCTAATGAGCTTTTGGTCAGATTTCAAAGGTATGAGATTGTGGATTGGACAATGTCTAATAGTTGCATGGGAAAAAAAGGGTATGGGATTGTGGAGTGGGTGATGTCAGAGCTGATAATTGTGTGGGAAAAAAAAAGTGGAAGACGATGGGAAATTGTGCCACGTGTCCAGCAAACATTTCGCTCATTTATATATGTAAGATAATATGACATACATTAATAAGCATTGCTAGAAGCTCTTTGTTTAATTTTATTCTTATTTATTATTGGATAAGGGTCATAACTCGATCAGAGAATTTCAATAAATCTCATGAAGTTCAATATGAGTTTGTGATTTTTAGATCTAAATATTACAAATATACATAAAATAAAGGACGTACATGATAGTATTTCAATTTTGTAGCGCTTTTCTTGGCGGCAACTTTATTTCACCTTATTATGATTTTAATATTTATATATATTTCCATTTATTTTTAAGCGCTAAAATGTGATTTTTGTGCCAAAAATAAATCCTATCATAGTTTGAGGACCAAAGTGTACTTTCAAAAAGTTGTGACGATTTATCAAATAGGTAAATAATTCCAGTTGACATAAAATTTATTAGTACGGCGCGTTTGAAAATTTACATGGAATTACAAACTTACAAAAGCATCCAATTTGTCCATTTAAAAGTCTTCGACAAAATTAGATGGTAACGAGTCACGAACTTAGAGGATAATCTTTAAGAGACTTTTTAACCACAAAATACTCTTTATTTTAAAGCGTGAATATTTAAAAATGAACTCCAAAAAACTCTCTATTTTTAACTTTTTAAAATAGAGAGTATATTTCAAACTCACTCCCTATTCTTAATGTACAATGATTGCATTTAATATATTACAAATTTCAATACCCTACAATTTAAAATTTTCAAATTACATTTGAATTGATTGGTCATTAATATATAAAAAATTATACTTAGAATTATTAATTATTCATTTAAAAAAAAAGCAAAATAAAGAATAAAAACAGAGAGCTTGTTGGGGTGTTAAAATAATTATTCTCTAAATTTAAAGATATTTTCTATTATGCATAAAATGCTCTTTATAAATAGAGTTTTTAAAAATGCTATTAGCTAGTTTTTTGTATCATTGTGACTCAACAAATCTCTATATTTCTCCCACTGTAAATCATGTCAGTGCATGACAAAATTTGGATCCGATCGAGCTCATATCCGTAGCATATAGCCTAC